TGTATATCCGTAAGTTAGATCCTGAACTTTGCATACAGAAAGAAAATGTGTTGTCGCTACAATTGTTTGGTGTTACTCCTCGTCGAGGTGTTAACAATGTAACTTAATTTGCTCACTATGTTCTTGTCACTATTATTATTTCCTTCGAGTTTTGTGTCGTGCTGAACTTGATAATTTCCCACCTTGTCACGAGTGTTGTTATCTCATATCTTTACACTATATAAGTTTTAGCCTTTCCAACTTGAGCCATTCCCTGTATAATCCTTGGTGAGAAGGGACCAAAAACGTTCGGATACTTTGACAAGTGCCTTATTTTGACTGGATGTGTGTTTGCGTGGATACTTACGACCCAACACGTACCTTCGTTATTAAAGTATTATCCGCCTCCGACTTCTTGTTATATAATAATAATAAGATCTATTGCAGGACGAATTAGACAGACTGACATCAATATTTTACGATTAACGGCTATCCAAAGGAATTTCTGGCCAAGCTTATCAACGAAAAACCGGTGACAGACAAGCCTATCCAATTTGGACCTGACCGTTGCCCAGTGGTGCTCCGTTTACCTTGGGTTGGCACCGGTTCTGCGCGCGTGGAGAAGGATGTTCGTGGTATCGTATGTCCATCATATCCGTGCGTCAAGCTGTACGTCATATTTCGGACAGTGCGTGCATTCAGTGTGAAGAAGGATGTTCTACCTACCCTTAGTAAAAGTAACCTTATCTATTTCTTTCAATGCCGACAATGTGAAGATCGGTATGTACGTAGAACCCTTCAGCACCTGGGCGCACGCATTCGTCAACATGTGCCGTTAAGTTGTGTTCCGCTTGATGCGCGCGATTGTCGTCCTCGCCGTGGTCGTCCTCCAAAATGTGCTGTCCAGTCCATCGGTGGATCTTCCTCTTCCCGTGAAGATGTGACTGCATGCCCGTCCTCCTCTGCGTGTGTAGGACACGGGCCAGCTGAGAACAGCATAAAAGATGGTGAAAGACCGAAACGTAAACCACCGAAACTGACAAAGGATCTGTCGGCGTCGGAAAGGGTGACGAGAAGCCAAGTGAAATACGGACTGGTGAGAACGAACGTACAACGACAACGGAAGTGACAACAACAGTCAATATTCGAAAACGTGGTAGACCGCGAAAACTAACCTCAATATCGGACACCGGACAAGTTGGAGTAAGAAGCTCAAAAGAAATCCGCAATGGAGGAGACGTAGCTGAAAGGACACTGGGTATCGCGCACCCAACGGTTAGTGTCAAGAAACGTGGAAGGCCGCGGAAACGCGAATAGACGGATAGTGGTGATGCCACGAAGAGGCGAGATGACGGGACATTGGAGGAGACAACACCCAATGGAGCTAAGAATCGCACTTCGTCAATCAAGCAACATCTGTCAGCCCGTACCAATTGTCGTGAGTTGTACAGTGATAATGTTTTCTCAATATTGTCACGTGGTAGATGTGCGTTGCATTTGGCTGTGTTAGAAGCTTTGTATATCCGTAAGTTAGATCCTGAACTTTGCGTACAGAAAGAAAATGTGTTGTCGCTACAATTGTTTGGTGTTACTCCTCGTCGAGGTGTTAACAATGTAACTTAATTTGCTCACTATGTTGTTGTCACTATTATTATTTTCCTTCGAGTTTTGTGTCGTGCTAAACTTGATAATTTTCCAAGTTGTCACAAGTGTTGTTATCTAATTATCTTTACGCTATATAAGTTTTAGTGTTTCCAACTTGAGCCATTCCCTGTATAATCCTTGATGAGAAGGGACCGAAAACGTTCGGATACTTATGACAAGTGCCTTATTATGACTGGATGTGTGTTTGCGTGGATACTTGCGACCCATAACTTACCTTCGTTTTAAAATAATAATAATAATAATACTTTAATAAAGCAGGTACGTGTTGGGTCGTAAGTATCCACGCAAACACACATCCAGTCAAAATAGGGCACTTGTCAAATTATCCGAACGTTTTCGGTCCCTTCTCATCCAGGATTTTACAAGGAATGGCTCAAGTTGGAAAGACTAAAACTTATATAGCGTAAAAAATATGAGATAACAACACTCGTGACAAGGTGGAAAATTATCAAGTTCAGCACGACACAAAACTCGACAACTCGAAATTGACAAGGGATCTGTCCGGGTCGGGAAGGGTTACGCGAAGCCAAGTAAAAATACGGACTGGTGAGGACGCACGTTCAACGACAACGAAAGTGACAACAACGGTCAATATTCGAAAACGTAGTAGACCGCGAAAACGAACCTCAATATCGGACACCGGACAAGTTGGAGTAAGAAGCTCAATAGAAATCCGCAATGGAGGAGACGTAGCTGAAAGGACACTGGGCATCGCGCACACAACGGGTAGTGTCAGAAAACGTGGAAGGCCGCGGAAAAGCAAAGAGACGGATAGTGGTGATGCTGCGAAGAGGCGAGATGACGGGACATTTGTCGAAAGATTAGGATTTCCAATCTCTCGATTTATCAACACAGGTCACAAGTCCGATCTCACCTCTACAGGTGGCACACATCATAGGACAAAGGAGTCTGTTGTAATCGCTCTTTCCAGAATAATACTAGAGAACAACAAAACTGAAAAACCACTCGTGTCCAAGAAGAGCCGCATAACCCACCACCGTGGGAGAAGAAAAAAACACATCCGCAAAAGCGCGCCAAACTGTGCTGCATGCCTTGACAAGTACATGTACAGTCATGCATACGTGGGCCAGAACAAGTCATACAAAGCACGGGAACGTGGACATGGAACTAGCGTTTTGTACTGCAACAAGAACAGGCACAAACATGATACAAATCGCGCGACAAGGTCGCCGCGACACTCCAGCCGACCGGGAATGTACACCGGGAGGTAACTTATAGAGCATAAGCAATGCAGATACACACGCACACACACACACACACACACACACACACACACAAGCAGTTAAACAGGCATACAGAGAGTTTTATGTGCTTGTGAGGTCACTGCCAATTGGACCAAGCACCACCTAATCCTCACACTCTGACACGGTCAAACTTATCAGGCGTGTGGGATGTGTACGTGCAGCAACGATACAGCTGTCCACTTTGCAATATTCTGCCGGGCCTTATCAGCTGCCGCACGAGTTGGTCGCTGGGGGTTTCGGAGACATTCGGAGACGGGACGACTGGAGTGGCTGGAGAGCCAGTAGCAGGGACAGGACTAACAGCAGTCACAGGAGCGCTCGCAGGAGCGGAAGGTGGACCCTTGGAGTGGACCACCACTGCTGATGGGCTGAAGGATACGCTGGTCAAGATTCATTCGGAGACGGGACAACTGGAGTGGCTGGAGTGGCTGGAGAACCAGCAGCAGGGACAGGACTAACAGCAGTCACAGGAGGGCTCGCAGGAGCGGAAGGTGGACCCTTGGAGTGGACCACCACTGCTGATGGGCTGAAGGATACGCTGGTCAAGGCAGCGGCTGGGGACGTCGTGGGGGAGGGCTGTGGGCACTGGATCGACTCGAGTTGGCGATTGCCTCCAGTTCGGCATCTGCTGTGGCGAGTCCGGACGGGTTCTCCCTCTGTAGAACGGTACGTGCGTCCCTCAGGACTTCCAGGTCATCATCGAACTCGAACTCCCACTTGTCGAGTTGCTCCAGGCGGTCCTCAACATCCGAGGAAGTCGCCTGTTCGGTCAGATCGCGGATTCTAGCCTGTGTGGCATTGATTTCAGCTGCAAGGCGTTCAGCCTGCTGCCAATCTCGTAGCAGGTAGTGTGGTGATGGAGCGTCTTTGGCAAGCTCCCGGGTTAAATTGTGGCGAAGGCGTGTGAGTCGTCGCTTCGTGTTTGCCCTACACTTTACAAGCTGGGCGATAGTCTCCATCACTCTGGTCGGAATTTACTAAATAAACTGAGGAAAATCTCTGGTCACTAAAGCACCATGTCGAAAGATTAGGATTCCCAATCTCTCGATTTATCAACACAGGTCACAAGTCCGATCTCACCTCTACAGGTGGCACACATCATAGGACAAAGGAGTCTGTAGTAATCGCTCTTTCCAGAATAATACTAGAGAACAACAAAACTGAAAAACCACTCGTGTCCAAGAAGAGCCGCATAACCCACCACCGTGGGAGAAGAAAAAACACATTCGCAAAAGCGCGCCAAACTGTGCTGCATGCACGTGCCTTGACAAGTACATGTACAGTCATGCATACGTGGGCCAGAACAAGTCATACAAAGCACGGGAACGTGGGCATGGAACTAGCGTTTTGTACTGAAACAAGAACAGGCACAAACATGATACAAATCGCGCGACAAGGTCGCCGCGACAACATTGGAGGAGACAACACCCAACGGAGCTAAGAATCGCACTTCGTCAATCAAGCAACATCTGTCAGCCCGTACCAATTGTCGTGAGTTGTACAGTGATAATGTGTTCTCAATATTGTCACGTGGTAGATGTGCGTTGCATCTGGCTGTGTTAGAAGGTTTGTATATCCGTAAGTTAGATCCTGAACTTTGCGTACAGAAAGAAAATGTGTTGTCGCTACAATTGTTTGGTGTTACTCCTCGTCGAGGTGTTAACAATGTAACTTTATTTGCTCACTATGTTGTTGTCACCATTATTATTTCCTTCGAGATTTGTGTCGTGCTGAACTTGATAATTTTCCACCTTGTCACGAGTGTTGTTATCTCATATCTTTACGCTATCTTTACGCTATATACATTTTAGTCTTTCCAACTTGAGCCATTCCCTGTAAAATCCTTGATGAGAAGGGACCGAAAACGTTCGGATAATTTGACAAGTGCCCTATTTTGACTGGATGTGTGTTTGCGTGGATACTAACGACCCAACACGTACCTTCGTTATTAAAGTATTATCCGCCTCCGACCTCTTGTAAAAATAATAATAATAATAAGAGTAACAGTCATTAGAGTGCATGGTCCAGCATTGATTTTACTGCGTTAGCTCAGTAAATCTTTCTGTGTGCCGTATGTTCCATATGCTGTAGGTTTTCAATGAAGAATGGCGGCAGTTTGGCCATCTCGGATATTGTGATATTGCGGATATTGCGGACAACATCGGTGGCATGAAGCCTAGTGACTGCCAAGTGTCTTGGCGCGACGGGCGACCAGTACAGTGTCATGCCCCAGGGGCTGCTGTGGCTGTCAACGTCGGCGAGTCGTGGAGTGCGTTTGCCGGCCTTCATGGCGCTCGGACAAGTGCGATACACAGATTCTCACTAGCTACGCAGTACACTGATTCTGGCACGTTATTTCTGCATTGATAGTCATATACTCTGGTGAACATTGCACTGTCACCCACACAATGTAAACATTCAATAGTATTCAAATTTCACCACAGAAATACACACACATATTGGCTCTGTTGTAGCGTGATACTCACACTACATACTTGATTTGAATTTCTGTTTGAGGAAATTCCCGCATGGCTTGGTTTGGTTTGGTTTTTATTATTTCAGTTCGTTGCCTCAACAGTACAAAGTACAAATATCAAGAGGGACGAACGAAAAGAGAAAATAAAACAGAGCAGAGAGGAAGATGCAACTGAAAGGAAACGGCTGAAGGCAAGATTCAATTGTTCACTGTTCTATATTCATACTGTATTAAATCTTTGTTGAGATATATGTAGACCTTGTGTGCCATGTCACTGATATTGATGCTGTGTCGGCAATAGTAGAAAAGGAATGGCTTCAAATTTGCTCTCCCCGAAATTACCCTAATTGTTTTTGTTTTGTTTTTGCTCACTATCTTTCTTGCCTTTCGTGGGAGTGTCGCGAACATGCGAGTGGTATTTATATGAAACAGGATAGATTCTGTTAATCCTTGATCTTAACGTTAGCTCGTACATAGTATCCTGTGATTCTGGTATTTTATGTCAACCCTGTTATGTAATACGCATCCTTTGCGATTTAATCCTTTTTTGTCGCAGCTTGCTCTTCTGGTATGGAGCATGTGTGGATTTTTTTGGTTGTTGCCCTTTGGAACGTCTGGTGAAGACTTGTGGAGAATTTGTGTGCTTGAAGTTTGATGGCAAAGGCAATGGTTCTTTCAAGTATCATGTAGAATGTCATCTAGTGTAGCGATAGAGTGTGTGTCCAATGAGAATAGAGAATGCATGATCATGGTGTCTCAAGTACGATACTTTTATGTTTGTTGAAGACAGCACTGGAGTTGTGTAGGGAAGTCTCATCTGTCTTGACAAGTCATTATTTTACGACTTCCAGGGCATACCGCACGTAATGGCCGAGTGGAGCACAAAATCACCTCGTTCGGGACCTTCCATTCACTTTTCGAAGCGGTTTTTTTTTAGATTTCATGTCTGTACTGCCCCCGCTATGACTCTGTGGTGTCAAATTGTTGTGCGCTCAAAGTCGGAACGAAACCTTTTTTGAAGCACTTTTTTCAGCCCTGTCCCCCGTACTACAGCCTGGGTCACGTTGGCCTCGGAAGAGCATCAGAGAGGAAGATGGAGCACGCAGCCTGATGACTACGGAGATGGTGGAGCAAACGAAACCGGCGAAAACGCACGCATGCATGAGCGAACGAATTACACTGCTGGGCAGTCGGGCGGGGACTAGTCCTCGAGCAACGGTGATGACCGCGACCTTTCGCAGTCCGAAAGCAACGGGCACACACAGCACAGTGCGCAGTACAGCAGGCATACTATACATCGACTTGACAGGGCTCGGGAGGCCGTGGAGAGGAACAGCGGTGAACAGCTAGACCACCCTTGCTGCAAAACCAATGCCCACAATCCCCACAGTGGCAAGCCGCGTGCTGTTCAGCAATCGGCTTGGCCCGCTCAACAACAAATGTGTGGCAAGCATGATCTCCTGGGTGCGACACACACACACACACACACACACATACATACACACACACACACACACACACACATACAACCTCAGAAAAACATGAACACAAAGTCCACGGCGCACACAAACACGAAGAAAGTCTAGGAGCTCGAGCATCCACACATACACACACACGCTAACAATGTGTGGGCTTGAACGTGCGCTTAAACACACACAGGTGCACACAACCAAACGAGTGCACGAACGCACGGGCGCACACGCGCAGTCACACACGCACATACACATAAAGTGTCGGCGCTGGTGTACGTACACGCACAGGTGCACACAAGTGCACACACATGCACACACACACATGCACACACATACACACACATAACCATCATAGCAACGTCTTCTTATCCAGTTATTACAAGAAATAAACACAATTACATATATAACATTGTGAACACACATAGAAATTACTAGCAGTTCATAAATCAATGATGAAAAACAACATAGCATAGCAGTAGCAGCAGATATGATTATAGGCATGAAAGCATTAGAAATCTATTCACAACAGTCCTCAACATTAGAGTAGTAAGCAGGCAAGCAGCAAGCAAAAACACATTTTGTACAAGAAGAAAAGCAGGCAAAAATACCTATCGATGGTCGACTGGTCAGGGTTTAGGGGTAGGGGGTATACAGGGGAACAAAACAAAACAAAACTTTACATTCTCTCAAGAATGTACAACCATTTACAGAGTTTAAATGCACCCCCTCCTCTCTGTGAACACAGTGACAAGTTGAGAACAAACATTCTCACTCAATACACACTGAGTTGTCCACCACGTAACTGTGTACACGCCTTCTCCGCTTCAATGAATCTTATCTCATCATCCGCACTGCCCACAAACCGATTCCCATACAACCACAACACTTCCAGCTGTGTACATTGCTCCAACATATCACAGAGTACAGACAACGGCGCATCATCATCACTATACATGTCGCTGACATTGACAATGTGTACATTCTTACACTGACTGAGTGCACGGCACACGGACACAAAACCACTCACACCAACAGGGTTACCACCAACACCCACAGACACAAGACTAGCGGACATGGCTGAAATCACGGATGACAATGCTAGACCATCAAGAATAGCATTCCCGTATAGATGTAGTGAACGTAGACTGCTACACCTCTGTAAGCCTGTTGATAAGCTGTGAAATGACTCATCGCCAATGCTACAATCGCAGAGGTTGACTTCCTCCAAATCACTACGTGTATAGCCACACAGTAAAGAACTGAGAGCAACACATTCATGAGAAGAAAGAGAAATGCCATTGAGAATGAGCTTTGATGCAAGCATAGCACGAAAGAAAGGGTGTGTCCAGTTGCCGGACACACTGTGATACTCTGCATGCTCATGATATGCCACCACAAGATGAACAAACAACCTCCGTATGGGGGTATCCTTAAAAGAAGGGGCAGCATCAGCTAGACTTACAGTGCGAGAAGAAGCAGCTTGCAGGGATTCATGACTCAGCAGCATAGCAGCGGGATGAAGAAGACTCTCGCACAGCTGCGCCAGCTCGGCGTCCACCTGGGATAGCGCTTCCAACAGCACAATGCCATTTGCAACACTGCCGTTCTCCATCCACACCGTCAGGAGAGTCTTTAGGAATAGCACATCTGAGGGCTCCCGGCTGCGTGGCATGGAACGGCACACAAGTTGCTCACCATGGCCCTTGCCACGGTCATGCCGAGGAATGAGGAGAATGTCGGCGAGGGCTGTAATTTGCTCAGCATTCAGTATCTCGCAAAGTCGTTTGTGGACCTTTGACATCTCTATCTCACCGGTCAGGACACTTGAGTCGTTGCGCATGTCCTCGGCTAGCTTAGCGGCGGTGGCAGCACGTCTAGCGGCAGTAGCAGCATGTTCGGTAACCTCCGTGGTCGTGTTGGAAGCCCACTCCTCTTGCCCGTCGCTGCCGCATCTGTTAGTTGGTTTGGTGGATTCGTTGGCCTCACCGCTAGGATCCAGTGGTATGGGATCTGCACACTGCACACGCCATAGCTCCTCCATGATGGTCAACGACACGTCTTTCGGGCATAGAGCAATGAGAAACTTCCAGAACATTGCCATATGGCCATCGTATGCGCCCAGTCGCCGTACCAGTGCGATGGCGTGATGTATTTCTTGCACCACGCATTCTGCATGAAACCATGCCGCCAGGAACTCCTGCAGTGACAGATGGCAGAAGCGGTATTGCCGAGCGTCCGTAGACATTGTGCCCTGGCATGTTTGCAGAAGACCCAAGCTCTTTGCATCCTCGCTCAAGTGGGAGTTGATGATGTCGGACGTGTTGAACACCATCCTTTTCACCAGCAACATGCGAAATGCAAAACGCCCCAGTTCCTGTAGCCACTGGATCACTTTGCTGGGTGCAAGTGAAATCGACTCGCAAATAGCACCACCAGCACGCTCTACGACTCGACGCAGTAACGATTGGTACAGGGAGGTGCTGCACTTCCACATTTTGTCTTTGTTGCTCTTGAAAAGCTCACATGTTAGGGCTGCAAACATGGGAGTTGCCATAAGACATGACATATCCGGCTTGCTCTGCAGCTCTGCCAGCAGAACTTCAGCGCGCTGTTTACCGAGAACCTTCTCTGCATAGTCCCTCACGTTCTCCGGTGAGAAACCCAGTACTTGGATTTTCTGCTTATATTTGCCACACCGCGATAGGTCATATGCATCCTGGCATGGACGACTTGTGACGATCACGTGTGTCTTCACCATGCCCTCACGGTTCAGCAAGTCACTCATGAACAAACTGCAGCTGGCGAAATCACATTCATCCAAGCCGTCCATGATGACACATAGACGGCTTGGAGAATCTTCGAAGTAGTTTGCAAGCTCCAATATCTCAGTCTGCGACAGGCCCTGGCTCGCCAGTTTCACCGTCAACAGCTCAGCAAGACTAGTGGCAGCTCTCACCTCTTTTCTACGAAGCTCCAGTCCTACGACCAGATCGAATTCCTCCTGCCATAGTTCGCCTCTGCTCCACAGGTATAGAACCATGAGCAGAAACACTGTGGTCTTGCCACTACCAGCAGATCCGTACGCCAGTACATTCCGTAACACCTTGCCACTGAGATTCGGTCGCTCGGTCGCTGTAGCTGCTGGTGCAGATTTTCCTTTTGAATGGGAAACGTCGTCAATACTCGAACCTGCGGCACGAAACAGGTTCTTCAATTCAATTCGATCGGCTTTGCTAAATTGCACTGCGTGTTGACGTCTCTCAGCATACGTCGAGAACGCTTCATCAAAGTCTTTTTTCAATTCCTTTTCGGACACAAAGGCCAAGTTCACGAATATCTGTTCGAGCGGAATGCGATCATCGGAAGCGAGGCCGCCGCTCAGCTGAACTCCCGACTCTTCAGCCTGTTCCAACAATTTCTTCTTAGCTTTCACCAACGAAGGCAGCAGAGCCTTGCGCTTTGCGGCGGGCTCCTGAGCCTTCGCATCCATTGCTTTCAAAACACAACAACAGGTCACTGGTGGGTGTGAAAGACGAAAGCCCAGTTCAGTGATGGAAATCTGATGACCTGAATGAAGTGAACGGAAGAAGTAGGACTGTGTGACTGTGTTGTGTGTGGTGTGGAAACTGACATCAGGGTAAACACGCGGCCGCGGCCGGGGGCAGGGGCTGCGCCGTGCAGGCCGGCGACCCGGTTTTCCCCGTGCGTACTTTATTATTATTATTATTATTAGTTTTCTAACCGCAATCAGTAATACAAGCTGGATCGACATTTGTGTACACTTTATTCATGTAAATGTAAAACTGTGGAGGCAAGTATATAATAAATGTAGAGCCGAAGGATTTATTGCAATTACATACCAGTATAAAAACCGAGGTCCCCCGAGGTTTTTATAACTGGTATGTAATTGCAATAAATCCTGAGGCTACTACATTTATTATACATATGTTGACCTTCACTTTCCCCAAAAAGGAGTATTTTATAAACAGTATTTATTGGCCTTAGTGGTATTTTATAAACAGTATTTATTGGCCCCAAAGCCAATAAATACTGTTAATAAAATACCACTAAAGTTGGTTGCTCCAACGAGGAGCACACGCTTCTTGCCGAACTTGACACTTGACTGACTCACGACTGCCATCGTGAGCACACCAGGAGCACGTCGCACCTTCCGCTCGG